GGGACAACAAAACAACCGGATCCGGACACCCACGTTTTGCCTGAGACTTCCTCACGAAAATGATGAAAATGTGGCTGCGGCCTAGGCGCGGCGAGGGGGCCGCGCACCAGGGGTCCCAACAATAATTATTCTCTAGAATAAATAATGTTCAACAACCACAACAACACCAACAACAACAACAACAACACCAACAACAACAACAACACCAACAACAACAACAACAACAACAGCAACAGCAACAGCAACAGCAACAGCAACAACGACAACAACGACACCACCAACAACAACAACAACAACAACAACAACAGCAACAGCACCAGCAACAGCAGCACCAACAATCCGCCCCGCAGAACCTCACTTCACCCACGCGCCCAGGGACAGTGAATGACCGTTCGGCCCCCGCACTCTGATATATACAAATTCGTGTAGGTGTGAAGATGCTCATAGGTAGATGTGCGCATCTGAATGCATGCAGCTGTATACACACAAGAGGAAGGGATACAGAGGGCTGCGCGGAGGACGAGAACGAGGACAATGACAAGGAGGTGGAGCCACTCCGCATCGTCGCCATCCCCCTTCCTCCTACACCTCCTCACCCACAGCACTGTTCAGTGTATTCCAATGGCTCCAATATGCTCCCCCTCTGACTACGGATGACTACGGCTTCGACTGCTTTGACTACGGCTGACTTGCACGAGCACGCGGTAAGCTATAACTATGTGAAGCAACGATGTGTTAATTCAATGCTACGTTGCACTAGCCTGACCCGGTCTCGCACGGGTGTATAAGCTAAGAGCACAGACGCGGACTGAATATCACCAGCCTTTTAGGGTGTGAGTGGTTGAGGGAGCGTCCTATTCCAACCCTAGTATTCCCGTTCGGGGAGGGGTTTACCCCTCCCCCTGCCTCCTCCCCCTAGACCTGGACGGGATGTTCCGCGAGTCGTTGAAGCGTCCAAGATGGCCTCGGCGAGGAAGCCCAAATACTTAATTTGACCACGGTGTTGGCCACAATTTAGCCTCATGGGGGGGAATGGGGAACGCCCCTCCGTTGGTCGATCTCCTCCAGGATGGCCCCCGAGGCTCCGAAGGGCGGCCCAAGACGGCCCAAAAAGGCGCCCAGGAGGCCCCGAGGGACCCCAAGAGGCCCCCAAGAGGCCGCCACGATGCCTCCAAGAGGCTCCCAAGAGACCCCCCAAGAGACCTCAAAAGGCAACCCAAATGCACCCAAGACGCATCAGCAAGAAAGCCAAGTTCGTTGATGTTACCGTGATCATGGCTACAGTTCGGCCTTCTTGGGGAGAACCCTTGTTAAGGATCTCACCTCATTTGGTCGATCTCTTCGCAGATGGACCCAATATGGCCCCCGAGGCTCCCGAGGGTGCCCCGAGACGGCCCCAAGAGGTGCCCCAAGACGGCCCCAAGATGCCCCACAGAGGCTCCCACAAGACCCCCAAGAGGATGCACCCAAGACGCCCCAAAAGGCTTAGGCGAGAATGCCAATCCTTTAATCGATCTGCTCCAAAATGGCCCCAATATGGCCCCAGAGGCTCCCACGGGCGCCCCAAGACGATCGCAAGAAGCGCTCAGGAGGCCCCAAGAGGCCCCCAAGAGGCCCCACGATGCTTGTAAGAGGCTCCCAAGGGGCCCGCAAAGGACCCCAAGAGGCCCCCCAGGGGCACTCAAGACGCCCAAGGCCTCCAGGACTGACAAGAAACCTCCAAGACACCCTCAGAGGTCTCCATGACATTCTCGAAAGACATGCGAAGGAGACTCCGACGGGCATCATGAGGCCTCTGGCATTTCTGCTCGCCCTCCTCGTTTTCTCCTCCTCCTCCTCCTCCTGCTCCTCCGATTCCTCCTCCCCCCCTCCCTCTGAAAATATGATGCCGCACCCAGCCCTTCATTCCACTGCATGCGCCTCCGCATCCCTGATCCGGGCAACTCGTCTGAACAGCGTGTCTGAATGGGCTGGTGGGGTTCTACGGAGCGTCTAAAACAACATTACGAACCTCTGAACCAACAAGACATACCAAGCTACCAGGAACGAAGGGATAACACATCCTACTCCAGAAACTAAGGGAAACATGACAGGACGGGCACGAGGGGAAGGACGAGGAGGAACAGAGCGAGGGAGAAGACGATGAGGGGCAACGATCGGGGGGGGGGCTGGCACAGGGAGGAACCATCGACCTGCAATCGGCGATATCTCCTCGATTGGTCAGCGATTGGCCCCGACAGCGAAACCGAGATCTCCTGGGCAGGCTGGGGCTATCGGGCCCCTCATCGGCGATCCATGGGAGATTGGGGGTCGACGCGTCCTCCCCCATGCCCCCCCTCCCTTACCGCTGCCCCCGGGACGAGGGCGAGGAGGGGGCGGGAGGGGGGAGGGGGGACGTAGGGAAACAGACAAACAACAACCACAACAATCATTCTAAGACTGTTCGCTCTTACTTGCCCGCGTATCATTCAAAACGGGTTCCCCACACCCCCGATACCCGCCCTTTTTGTCTTCGATCGCACCCCTTTGGGAGGATTCTTTCTCTTTGCCGGGGGCGGCGGGCCTAGACAGGCGGGCAAAGCTGAACGGGCGGACACTCTTTCCTGAGCGTACATATGCCCGCCATTGGAATTGGTGTGGGCCCTGCAAAAAAAACGGGTGAGAACGAGGGAGAGTGGGAGGAAGGGATGGGGGAGGAACGAAGGAAGAGGGAACACGCCAGGAGAGAAGGAGTGAAGACGGGGGCGATTGATTAGAGGCAGAGAGAGACAGAGATACAAGCACAACAAAGACAGATAAGAGAGGTAGAGAAAGAGAGAGAGAGGGGAGAGAGAAAGAGAAAGAAAGAGGGAGGGAGGAGGCAGGAGAGGGGAGGGCGAAGGGAGGAAGAAGAGGAGGCAGAGGGGATAGGGCAGAGAGGCAAAGGATGAGGGAAGAGAGGAGAGGGAGGAGAGGAGGGAGGAGGGAGGAGGGAGAGGGAGGAGGAGCAGGAAGGTCAGAACGTGAACGTTCGAGCAAGTTCTAGGCGAAAGCGCCGTTCCTGAAAGAAGTCTCGGGCGGGAGCCCACGACGGGCGGGCGATCCCCTGACGGGCGGGTCGGGCGGGTGGGACATTCAAGCGGGATGCCGAATATGACGAGAGCGCGATTACTACGTAAATTGTGACGGCGGCGTCCTTGGCGCAGCGTGTTTCCTGAGCGTCCAAAGCGCGAGTTCTGAATACATTGCATGGAAGTCACAGGCGAGAGCGCAATTCCTGATTAACATGTGAAGGGTTCTCTGGCGGGAGCGGGGGTCTTGATTACATTGCGAGCAAGTCTTCATTCAATTGCGAGGAAGTCTCAAGCGGGAGCGCCGTTCCTGAGTAAATTGTGAGAAAGTCTCAGATGGCAGCGGGGGTCCTGTCTAAATTGCGAGGAAGTCACAGGCGGGAACACCGATCCGGAGTAAATTCTGAGGAAGTCTCAAGACCGGGAATCCTGAGCAAATTTGGACGAAGTCTCAGGCGGGAGCCGTTGTTGTTGTAATCTGGGGGGAAAGGGGCCCAGTTTGAGCACCAAGACTTTTCCTGACAGAAAACAGGGTGCGAACGTCGAGGGGCACACTTTGATAGAGAAAAACAATATGCACCGGTGAGGGGGGATCAGCAATAATTATTCTTCAGAAAGAGAAAACTCACGACAACAATAGCATCTACAACTACAACGACAGCAAACACAACAACAACAACAACAACAACAACAACAACAGCAAGAACAACAACAACAACAACGACAACGACAACGACAACGACAACGACAACAACGACAACACCAACACCAACACCAACAACACCAACAACAACAACCACAACAACAACAACAACAACAACAACAACAACAACAGGAACCCCAACAACAACAACTACAACGACAACAGCATCTACAACAACAACAACAACAACCACAACCACAACAACATCATCAATAAAAAACAACGCAGGCAAACAAAACAAGCAATCACAAACAGAACAAGTGTTGGCGCTCTGCGCGGATTTCTTGGATCTGCGCTGGACCCGAGAGATCCGCGCGGAGCGCGCCAGAGGCGCCGGCGCCGGGGAGGCGCCGCCCGGGGGGGAGGGGCCCAGCGCGGACCCGAGAGATCCGCGCGGATAGCCACGAGTTGATGCCTATGGCGTGCTGCCCTGCTGCGAACGCAGGACGCCGCCGTCGCCGCGGCCGTCCTCGCCGCCCTCGTCGTGCTGCCTCCCCCCCAAGACATGTCCGATGTGGATCGCACCTCGACGACATAGGCGATGCCGCAAAGAAGCTGGTGCGTCGCTTCGTGGCGAAGAAGCTGCCCTGCCAAACCGCCCCTGATCTATCAAGCCTGGAATAGACGAGCGCATTCCACTACTCGCAAAGTGACTACTCGCAAACGGCCCGGATCCGCCAGGGGGGGACCTACGAGAAGTCGCATCGAAGCAGACGTGTGTTCTTCGGACGTGTGCCGGTAGGCACTGTGCGAGTAGTGGAACACGCTCGGTGATGGACCACATTGTCCAGGAACCCGCCTCGCATTAGGGGTAGGGTTCTCTCGTCGGTGGACAAACCTCCCTTTAGTAAACCTCCTCTTAGTGAAAACGGCCTGGGACCGAAACCGACGGACCTGGACCCGCAAAAATGACGGCCGCGACACCCTCTCGCGAACCGAAAACGGCCAATTCCTGAATCGACGTGTCAGGGAAGGAGGTCTATCCAACTCCGGTTCTCTGGCCGACAGGAAGGGAACAGAAAGTAACATAAACATGAAAACTCGGAGGTCCGCGCGGATTTCTCGGATCGGCACTGCCCCCCAGCGGCGCCTCCGGCGCCGCGCCTGGCGCGCTCCGCGCGCCAGGGAGGGATCCGAGATATCCGCGCGGACCTCAGAGTTGTTATGTTGATGTCTTTCGTTCCCCTATCTATCCACCTCCGGTTCTCTGGCCGACAAGGCCCCCCCTGCGCGGCGCGGCGGGGCGCCTGTACGCGGCCGGGCGGCTGCCGGACGAGGGCGAGGCCGTCTGCCGGTCCCGCGCGAGCTGCTCGGCCTCGCCGGGGCAGGGCGGGGTCCGCCCGGAGGGGCCTCGGAGGTTCCTCCCCACTTCCCATATTTTCCTATATTTTCCCATATTTTCCAGGGGATCGTCGATGAATTGTGTCTTTGTGTTTTTTCCCTTCCTGAGGGAAGGGGTTCTCCACGAGCCACGCCTCACGAGCGGCGAACAGATCCATGCGTATGGTAGGGACCCGACCACAAGAGACCTTCCACACGAAAGCCAGTCCTGAGACCCCAGGGCGTCCTATGGTTTTTGGGTGTGGGAGCGTCACGCTGTCCATGGCAGAAAAAAAGCCACCGAAACCCAGGAAGCCCAGGGCACCCTGGAGGCAAGCAGGGTGTTTCTTGGCATGGGTCTCCACTGTATCCACACCCTCGCGGTCTGGATTCCAAGGCGCGATCCCATGGATGCGCGGACGCATGGATACGTTCCGCGCGAGGCATCCGCGGAAGCACTCCCCGTATCCGTGGGATCGAGGCCCAGGGGCCCACCCCGCGAGGCCGTGGATACAGATGATTATGTTTCCCTCCCACGAACAACCTGACGGCCCCCAGGTCCTGCCAGCACGAGGGGGAAGCTGGGAGCAGAAAACCGCCACACGCACAGATCGAGCAATGCCTCCGAGAACCTCAAGGCAACTGGTCCAAACCCTGAGCAAAGCTGTCGGAATCTCTGGAACCCTGCCTGCCCGAACCGGTCGCAACTCTGTCCTGAGCCGAGATATGCTGCCGAACATGCTGCATCTGGTGCCTACTGTCCCGAAGAGATGGAAGGGCAGTGGAGGAGGAGCAGGGGAGAGCTCAAGCAATCATAATTGTATGAATGATTCCCATGTTGCTGTCCGAGGGATCCTCGAGCGCAGCCAGTCGGCCACCACCCGTCCCAGAGCCACCTGGGCACAACTCCCGAGGCAAGTTCGGATGCTGCTCCAGGACTTCGGAGGCTTAGGCTCCGAGAGCTTATTATCGATCACCCCACCCTGGTCGATGTGCAGGCCGGTCGCGGTAGAGTTGGGTAGGCCCGACTGAACGCTAGGGTGACGAGGCGGCTGAGCAGGCTGTGGACCCCTGGCGCGCGCCCGCCTCTCTCCCAGCAAAGTTCCAGCATTCAGACACCGTAGCTGTTGGGGTGGGTCTCTGGATTGCTGTGGCCGATTGCCTCGGGGCTGAGGCCGACACCATCCGTGAGAAGACATTTGAGCGGACCCCCCCCCATCGGCTGTGCCAGCCCCGCGAGGCGCATGTGCCCGTGAGCGTCTGTGGTCCTGTGGTGCCGCGTGTGTCGTTGCCGGGGGGTCACAGCCGATGGGGATCGTGGGGGTGGCGCAGCCTTGCGGGCACTGGCGGCCTCGAGAGCCCTGCTGGCGGCCGCCGATCCCACAGACTCGCCCACTCGACCCTCCTCCTACACCTCTTCCTCCTCCTCCTCCTCCTCCTCTTCCTCCTCCTCCTCCTCATCATCATCATCATCCTCTTCTCCCTCCTCCTTCTCCTCCTCCTCCTCCTCATCCTCGTCCTCCTCCTCCTCTTCCTCCTCTTCCCCCTCCTCATCATCCTCCCTACGACGACGAAGACGACGAAGAAGACACCACCACATCCACCACCACCAAGGCCGAACCCCGTCGTCGTGTGCGAAGCCTGCGGGTACGGGGTCAGTAAACGTCTCCTGGCGACCCTTGCGGGCGAGTGTAGCGGCAAGCCCACTGCTCACGGCGCCGGGATGCTCAAGCATTTGGCCCTCGGCTTTCTACCAGGGTCTAAGAAGGCTGCGACAAAAGCACGGCAGTGCGCTGCGTCGCGCGAGGGGGAGGGCAAGTGTCGCCCGGCCTAGAGATTAGAGGCCTTCGGACGCTGTCGTGGGTTGCCGGGGACTGTCCAAGCTCGGGGTGCTCTTTCAAGCTGCTGCGCCTCGCCGACAACGCTGAAAGACTGCCTGGATCGTCCCGAACGGCTGCCGGAGGCCCAAGACATGACCCGAACGCAGAACCTCCTCACGTCGCGGAAAGATCACGGCGGAAGGTGTGTGGCAATTTGCGGCCTCCAGGGGCCCTTGCAGGAAAAGCCATCCCTGGTGAAGGGATCCAGACCCCTGGTGGGGCCCGTCGCGAAAAAAAGCGGTGCCAGAAGTCTAGCAGGGTAATCAGGAGGGGAGAAGGACGATGGCGAGGACGAGAACGAGAGGGGTAGGAGCGAGGAGGACGAGGAGAATCATCCTCCGTAGCCCTCGCCCCCCTCCCTCGAAAGAACCCTCCTCCTCGTCCTCAGCCCCCTCGTCTGCGCGGGGTGCAGCGCCCTGCCGTAACACTCGCGCCATCGTTCTTTGTTGCCTCTTGAACGGTCAGGCGGCCCAGGTGGAGAGAGGTCACGTGCTCGGAAACAAAACGGATGAGGTGCGGGTAAGATGTAGATCCACATCCACTGCGTCTTGGACTTTCTGCGAAGGGGCGCCAAAAGGCCGAGGCGGAGTGGACACTGGTAGAAATCTAGGCTCTGGGGCCAGATTTCTGAGCACTGCGCCTCTCGCTTCTGCGGAAGGAGCCCCAAACTCCAAGACGCAGCGGCTATGTGGAACTCCAAACCCATCGGTCGGGGGAAGTGGGTAGGACCATGAAGCAGGGAGGCGTTGCGGGTCACTTGGGCCCCCGCCTGCCCCCTGCGGAGGAAGGGCGAGAGAACGACGCTCATGGATTGACGCAGGACGGCGCCCAAGGCCGATTGGGATCTGGGAGTACAGAGATACGCGCTTTCAACGACCAATGCGTAACCCTTCCACCAGGCTGGCCCGCGGCAGGCAGAGCTCGGGCTGGGCGAAAGGGGGGGGATAGCCAAGGGGGTGGTTGAGAATCAGCTCACGTAGCTGAGTTTCCCGGCGCCGCCCGGTGCCAGGAGGCGCCCGTGTATCGAAGAATGGGCCCGGCGGCGGGGCCGAAACCAGCTGCATGCACCAGACTTCGTACCCCCCCCCCCTTCCCTACCCCCCCCATTCCGTCCGGCCCGAAGAGCGGCCGGCCGGCCGCCCGCAGGGCCCGGGGGGAGGGGGGGGGCTTGGAACCGAGCGGGCGGAGGGAGGCAGACTCAGAAGAAGAGTCTGCGGCAGCTCATGCAGTGGGGGCCCATGCCAGGCAACACCCTGCTTGCCTCCAGGATGCCCTGGCTGTCGTGGGTTGCGATGGACTTGCCGTGGAAGGCGTGACACTCCCTCGCCAAACATCGACGGGCGTCCTGGGGTCTCAGGGTTGGGTTTCGTGTGGAAGGTTTCTCGTGGACGGGCCCCCACTGTACTCAGAAGGTTCTGTGGCAACTAATAGGAACCTGCCGTGCCATACTTTGGCGGCGCGCAAAAGAGGGTAGAGGGAGGGGGGAAGGCTTCTTAGAAGGAGGCTAATTTTCAGAAGGCTCCGGCCCTACATCTATAGAGAAGGCCTGCGCCTTCTAAGAAGCAGGGTTTTTATAAGAAGCCTTCCCCCTCCCTCCACCGCCCTCCGCGCGTGGCTAATCATGGGAGCCTCCCATACTATATTGCTGGCGCTTGCGAATCGACGCTGGCCGACGCTAAATCGACGCGAACCGACGCTAGTCGACGCTAAGTCGACACTGAATCCGCGCTTACCCGTGGAGGTGAAAACGCTAGCGCACGCGTATGCACTCAAAAACGGAGTTACGAGGACACAGAAGGCCCCCTATGATTTGCGACCGAAACAGAGGGCACCTGAGCGGCGAAACAAACTTGTCTTACGCGAGATGGCATGGCGACCTCCCGCCGCGGCTTATGCGGGCCGCCAGCGTGGCACACCGCTTGGAGAAGAAAGGCGATATCGCGTGACCCCACTGCGCGGGCAGCTCACTCGCGAATGTCGGCACTATCGAGCCTGTCTTTCTGCGTCGCTCACCTACACACCACCAACGAGCCGGGCCAGGGTTGCAACTGGCTGAGGGGGGCACAGACGGTCATCCCTGGAAGACAAAGAAAGGTCGGGCGAGGGCTCGGGCGGAGGGAAAGCTAGAAGTTCTAGTTCGGAAACAAAAGGAACACAACAGTTCGAAAACAATGAGAAACGTTTAGCGGAAGCCCAGAACAAGTGTTCAAATCGTTGGACAGAGATTCGAAAAAGTTTGAAAAACGTTTGCATCATATTTGAACAAAGTTCGAACGGTTGAAAAATAGCTTGGAACCAATTTGAAGAAGTTTGGAAACAGCGAAGCCAATTCGGGAGTTCAAAACAAAATAAACGCGTTCCGGATGATCGGAACTCCCTCGCCGCCGAACTGCATCCGAATTTATCCAAGCTGTGATCTTGAACGTGTTTTCGAAGTTAGGATTAAATTCAAAATGCTGACCGTCTGTGCCCCGCCAGCCACTTGCAAGGCCAGGGCCTGCCTGGCCCTGGCACGGTGTATACTCCCTCCCGATCGAGGCCACTCGAGGATGGCTGGTGGCGGTGTGCATCAAATGCCGTCTGCGGAGAGGGGCACACCAGCAGGTCTGCCGAGCTAAGCAGCCCCCAGGCCTGCTTCGGCCGCGGCCTCGCTCGCCCGAGCGGGTGCGCTGTGTGCTCACATCATCCGGTCGTCCTTCACACGCGGCTGACCCACGTACTCGAACTTCTCCTCGGACTCGCCGTCGTACTCCCAACGAGCCTTCTTGTCCCTCCCCGGAGGAAGCCTGCGCAACACATCGTCGGAGTGCATGTCCTTGCCCTTGCCGCCCGGCTTCCCAGGCGGGTTCGAAGGCTTCTTGACATTTGGGAAGAACGTCATCTGGTCCTGAAGGCGCAGACTTTACGCGTCCTCCTCCTCCTCCTCCTCCTCCTCCTCCTCCTCCTCCCTCCCCCTCCCCCTCCTCGTCCTCCTCCTCCTCCTCCTCCTCCTCCTCCTCCTCCTCCTCCTCATCCCCCCTGCATCCCTCATCTCTTGACTCCTGGGCCCCCCTGGATACACCTGGAGTCCGATTAACCTGAGAGACCGCCCCAGAGACCTGCAAACCCTCCTCCCTCCCTCCCTCCTTTTCCCAAACCGCTGCAAATCCTTGCCCTCCAGCTGGCCCGTCCGTGCCGCAACCACCCACTCCGTCAGCCAATCCGACAACGTCGCGTCGGTGCACTCGACCGACTCTGGGTCTCCCCGGCGGTACTTGCCGTCCAGGCAGAGGTACCGCTTCCGCCCCTCGCGCGGAGCGCCAGAAATTACGCCCAAATTGGCCCCTCTCCGCCTCCAGTTCAAAAGCTGAAGGCGGTGAGGGAGTGAAGGTCCAGAAACGGAGGAGCAGCTCATACTAGAGGCGGATGCACGGCGTCCAGCAGCCCGATGCCCAAAAACAGACACTGGCTGGGATCAGAAACCCGACAGTGCAAGTATCTTCAGTACTCCGAGTTTCTTCATAAGCGTCGGGGGGGGCGTCACCCCCGCCGACAGCCCCACATCAACCCCCATCACGGGCAGCCACCGCGCGCCGAAGGCGCTCCGACCGCCGTCGCGGCGCGACGACGAGGCGATGTTGACCCCAGCCGGGGGCACCCCCCACGCTTCTTAAGAAATGCAGAGTATGGATGTTGCGCGAGTCCGCCTGCAAATCGGACGCTGCACTGGAGGCGTGTTAGATGCAGCGGGCACGCTGGGCCCCCGGGAAGGCCGAGACTGTGCGCCCCCCCCCCCCCCCCCGGAAAGGCCCAGAAGGCGCACCGTAGGCGGAGGGCGGGGACGAGGAGCAAGAGCAGTGCAGCAGTCTGTGTTGTTCCCCTCGGCAGGCGAGGAACGTGCACAACCGCAGAAGCAGCCACGATCCACTCCATGGGGAGGGGCAGGGGGGGGGGTGCGAGGGCCCGCGCCGATCGGCAAAATAATGAATAAAACAACGATCACCGGGGAACCCTGGAGGCCAGCAGGGTGTTTCTTGGCATGGGCCTCCACTGCATCCCCCTCGGCAGGCGGGGGGACATAGAGCGGTGCGCCAAGCGGGGGGGGGGGGGGGCAGCGAGGCGGTCGGCCTTTTGAGAGGGCAAGGGGCTGCTTTCGATGATCCTCAGAACGTGCGTTACAGTGGAGGCCAGTCCACAAGAAACATTTCACAAGAAACCCAACCCTGAGACCCCAGGACGTTCAATGATTCTTGGTGCAGGAGCGTCACGCTGACCATGGCAGTACCATTGAAACCCAAGAAACCCAGATGAGGGTTTTCTTAATCGGCGTTTCGACATTGGGCGGAAATGGGGGGGAGGGGGGGGGTTCGGCTCAGGACCTCTGCTTAATGCGACTGACTGCAAGAGTGCGTCCTATGAGAGGAGCCTCCACCTGCTCGAAACAGGCGCCGAAAGCAGCCACGATCCACTCCATGGGGAGGGGCAGGGGGGGGGGTGCGAGGGCCCGCGCCGATCGGCAAAATAATGAATAAAACAACGATCACCGGGGAACCCTGGAGGCCAGCAGGGTGTTTCTTGGCATGGGCCTCCACTGCATCCCCCTCGGCAGGCGGGGGGACATAGAGCGGTGCGCCAAGCGGGGGGGGGGGGGGGCAGCGAGGCGGTCGGCCTTTTGAGAGGGCAAGGGGCTGCTTTCGATGATCCTCAGAACGTGCGTTACAGTGGAGGCCAGTCCACAAGAAACATTTCACGAGAGACCCAACCCTGAGACCCCAGGGCGTCCCTTGTTGTTGAATAGGCGTGGGAACGTCACGCTTTCCATCGCAAAACCATCGACACCCACGAAACCCAGGGAACCCTGGAGGCAAGCAGGGTGTTTCTTGGCATGGATCTCCACTGTAGCGCCTAAATGGGCTTGCCCACCCAAGCTCTTCAGCACAACGCAAGCGGCATAGAGACTAGAGGGCCAACATAGGCTGCGTGCTGCCCGTGGAGCTGAGCTGGGGAAACCAAAAGTCATGTTCCGATGCCGCAACTCCTCTGCAGGCCTCTCCTGGGGAGGCGAATCCAGCGGTGGCGACGAGGGCCGGCAAGAAGGCCCAACAGGGGGAAAACGAGGCAAGGGTAGAGGTATGGGTATTTTTTCCTCCTCCGATGAAATGGAAAATGCACACATCGGGCTAACAGACGTCGCCCCTTGAAGACCATACGCCCCACGACCTCTCAGAAGCCAGAGGCCCTTTCAGAAGACCGCCTCAACGCCCTGCCCTTCCGATGCCACTGCCGCCGATGGAGGGCTGGAGCCCTCGAGTCCATCCGCAGGACAGGTTTCTCGGACCGAGCATGCCCAGCCGTGCGCACGTGCAGGCGGAGGGAGGCATGCTCAGAAGTCTCCGTGGCAACTCGTAGGAGCCTCTCATGCCAGATTTTGGCGGCGCACACAGGGAGGCAAGGGGAAAGGGGAGGAAGGCTTCAAAGAAGCAGGCTGCTTCTGAGAAGGCGCCGGCCCGACATCCATAGATGAGGCCCGCGCCTTCTGAAGTGCAACCGGCTGTCAAGAAGCTACCCCCCCTTTCCCTGCAGTGGAGCACAGTCCACAATGAAATTTCCACAAAAAAAACCCAACCCTGAGATTTCGACATTGGGCGGGAAAGGAGGCGAAAGGGGGGGTCTGGCTCAGAACCTCTGCTTAATGCGACTGTTTGCAAACGTGCGTCTTATGAGGGGACCCTCCACCTGATCAGCACCCGGAGCACCCTGGAGTCAAGCACGGCGTTTCTTGGCATGGGCCCTCACTGTAAGCAGCGTTCTGCTAAGAATCCATCCCTCCTCACCCCACCGCCATCTGCGCGTGGCCGAGGGCTGGTCCTGGTGGTCCAGCGCAGGCCTCCAAGAGGGCCCAAACTGGGAGGGAGAAGCCAGCCGCGTCGAACTGTTTCGCGGCGAAAAAGGCCGAACGAAGCTTCACGCCTAGCCGTCGCCGTGCGCCCGCGCTAGGCTGTACAACTGGTCAGGCGCTAGGCCGCCCCTCGACCAGCGCGCACGGGCAGGCCGCGCGCCCCACGCGCGAATGCCCTCACCCAGTTGCTGCGCCGCGCCGCCGCGGCCGCCGCGGGGCCCCGCGAGCCCCGCGCGTCCCACTCGGCCTCCGTCAGGGGAGCGGGCCGGCCAATGGGCGGGTGGGTCGCGCGGGCCGTGGCGGCGCGCCCTGCTTTCAAGTTGGCGAGCTGTCATGGCTGCGTCGGCTGGCCAGGGCACCGCCCCCGCAGCTTTGCCAAGCGGCGCGCTGCGTGGCGCCCGCGCCTGCGGCGCCAGACCGCATCCGCAGCGCGCCACAAGTGCCTGGCCGGTGACCCACGCGGTAGCCAGCTGCACGGGGGGCCGCGCCGCCGCGCGGCAGGCACAACGCTCCTTCAAGAGCGCCTGCGCTGCTACAGGTCGTTCGCCGCACCTCTAGCACCCCCGACCGCCACCTCGTCGGCAGGCCGGGACGCGCGCCCCCATCACCTCCAGAATCAACTGCAGCTGCGGGGGTCGAGGGGCGGCGGGTCCAGCCACCTTCCCGACGTCTGGCCAGCCGACGCCCGCCTCGTAGACCCTCTCGGCGAGCTCGGCAACCAAATTCAGAAAAGAACTCCACCATCTCGGCCTCCTCCTGGCAGGCGCTGTGGACATGCTCGAGGAAGCCGTTGGCGCCCTCCTCGGCGCCCTGCCTAGCCCGCTCGTCGGCCGCAGCACTGGCGCGAGCCATGAGCCGCTCGCGGCCGTCAGCAGCTACGGCCGCCGCTGACAGGTGGGCCTTCGTCTTGCGGAACTGGGCGCCGTTCTGGCCCGTGCCGAGGTCGTCGGTCATGGGTCATATGTCGGCGACTCCAAAGGGTGCGGTTTGCAAAGGGTGCGGTTTGCAATCGGCACCCTGGGGGGCACCATGGGGGCCGGGCGGGCGCCTCGATAAAGTTTCCCGCCGCGCCCCGAGGAGGCCCGACGAGGACAGCGTCGCGCCCTCCAGGCCCCCGCGGCGCCGATCGCAAACCGCGCCCCGGCGTAACCGCGCCCTTTGCAATCGCCGAAAATGCCCCGCCAGAGGTCTGCGTCCGGTCTGGCCGCGCACGCGCTGGGCCCGCAGCAGGTCCCGCCAAGAATGCCCCGTCGGTCTACGCGGGGCGCGATCGGCAGCAGCGCGCGCGCCAGGGCGCGCTCCACCGCCTGCAACTCCGCCCTCGCAATCGCGCGCAGCACGGGGAGGGGGGCCGGCAGGGGGCCCCACGCTGCTGCCGCGATCCCGTGGAGTCTGGGCCCAGCGTCGCCACTGCCCAGCCTGCTCGCCCGAGCCGGCGCCACTGCCCACCCCTGAGGCTGACGCCCGCGCGCGCGTCCCCGGTCTCCCAAGCGTCGCCGCCGGGGCGTCGCTGGCTCACGAGCGCGTCCTGCGCGGCCCGAAACGGCACCTTAGCTCGGGGCGGGCAGTGGGCCCGCGCCCCCAAAGCCAACGATCCGGGCTCGCTGCGATGGCGCGCTGCCATCGTGGAGGGAGCTGCAAGCAGCGCCCGCGGGAAGCTGGACAGCTGCCGAGGCGGCGCTGCGCCGCGCCGCGCGCCTGGATGCCGCGAGCCGCACAGGCGCGGCACCGCGGCGTCGCCGCGGCGCCAGCCTCGCGCGCCCGGCGCCGCGCCCAAGGCCCCGCCGCCGCCGTCTGCGCCGCTTAGGAGGCTCCGCCGCTCCACCGGCGCAGGTGCCGCGTGAGCCACGCGCGCAGCGGGTCGATGAACAAGGGCGCTCGGGCCGGATCGGCGGCGACCCACTCAGTCCACGGGGCGACCGCGCTGTCCTTCAACGCCATGGCCTTGACGTCTGCGGGGCAGCACCGCCGCAGGTCCAGCGAGCGCCCGCCCCGCGTCGCGGAGACGCGCCACGCCGGCCAGGACCGCCCCAGCCGTCCCATGACCAAAATGCACGTCGACGCAGGCCCCGCGCCGGCCGCCGGCTGCAGGCGCGCAGCGAACAGGGCCACGCTGCGCCCGAGCTTCCTGGACAGCCACTGGGACGTAGCAAGACGCTTGCTCTTCCCTTTGACGCCGCCTGGCAAATTGGGGCCAACCTCGATCTGGAGGTCATCCCACAAGTAGGCGATCAACCAGCTCACAGACTCGCGCGCAGCGGCCCCCACATCGCGCGCCGCGCAATAGCAGGCCAGCCCCGAGTCGACGCACTTTGCCAAGCTCACCTCGCGCCACCGCTCCCGCGGCAGGTCGCGAGGCTCGAGGAGGACCATGTGCAGGACGGCCAGCGAGAAGCGGCTGCCTGGCA